CTATGTGATGCACCAGAATATATTTCCACACTGCTACTTAGGATGCCAACTAAGAGCTAGGTCATTGGACTGTTTCTTCAAATGGTCAGCTGATGGAGGAAACATCAGTGTTTCCCCCAACAGCCCTAAGTTTATGTTTCTAGTAGAAATGTTTTATCACTGTTGTAACTCAAAACAATATCAACCAAACATAAATTGATATTTAAATTCAAAATGCCTAAGTGATGCTGGTGTTGCAGCATTTCAAGTAGAAACAACCATGGTACCAAACACCAGCATAGTATATTTACTTGGATGGATTTCAAATGTGTGTTGTCAGTGAAAAAAACATGGTTTATGAAGATAAATTATTGATTTGGCAATTTACTTTCTGTACAACACGTACAACCTTTATGTAACAAAAAAAAAATCCTTAATCCCAAATGCTATGGAATAACATCAGCTACCCATTGCTGTTGGTAAGATTTAGTATGAAAGGTTCACAAAGACCACATGTTCAGCCATTGATTTCAAGTACCCAATTCAATGGAAACTCAATAGTTCTGCTGCACCTAAAAGATTTCATAATAAGTTAATTAAACTCACAAGTGTTTGTGTTGATTTGAAGATCCTTATTGTGGTTGAATATTRTGTTACTTGTGATCCTTCATGTGGTGAAACTCTCAACTACCGTTACTATTTGCACTCACAATACAAATGCAGAGGTTTTTACAACTGGTAGTGCCAAATGCTTATTTGAAAGTCTCTTATTCTCCTTGGAGATCACCACAYAGTAAGACAGTTGAACTAATAATTGGTCGGAAATGCTGATATAGGAGCTAAAACAGAGGATCCAGAAGGTGATTACAACATATGGACCAAATGGAGATCAACCTTCAGAGGTGGATTATAATAAGGAGATGGGAAGGATCAGAAAAGACATAATCAACTTCCAGGGAGAAATGGTGGTGTTGGAAAACTATAGCAATATCAATTACACAGTTACCCATTAGCCTCAATCTTGAATCTACATTTTAAAGAAAACATGAGGTATTTGTATAATAGCATGACATCTCAAAGCTGCAAACTAGAATATGCTGATATGCACATTCAGACTAATGATATCCACCATTCTATGGGTCCTACGCCAGATATAACCTATTTAACAAAGAGAAAACGATCCAAAGAAGGTAATGGTACCAAACTCAACTAGGAAACTGAACCAAAATTTCTAATTAGTGAAAAATTAAGGCAAACCTGTAGGTAATCCACAGGATTTTCAAATAAGGACTGTAACACTTAAAAACAATTCTAACAACACCCTACTAATTCTACTGCAACTAAACAAACTAAAAACAACTGCAAGAAAAACCTGAAAATAAAAGTTTTGTAATCTCATCACAGACTTGCACCCTACAACTAAAATGACCATAACTCTTTCTAAACAAATCAAATTTACAAGAGCCTAGCAAGAAAAACGCAAAAAATCTCAAAACTAGTTCTTTGAATCATTGAAGTACCAAAGAGAGAATCAGTAACACTGCAGAACATGATACCCAGTCACAAATGGATATTTGCAACATGCATTTTTCTCCCCTATCCAGGCCCTTTTTCAGACACAATGTGTTCAGATCGTCACTTAATGACGTTTTAGGAGAATCATGCATCAGGATCTTCCTCCCGACCAAACGAACGTTATTCTATCAGAAAAATCTCATTAATCGGCCAACTCGGACTTGCAATGAAGACCCAAATCATGCAAGAATGAAAGAATGATGAACATATATAAATTGGCAGAGAAATAAAACTAATCAGTACAAACCCATCAAAGTAATCTGCAAGAGCAAAATTAAGAAAAGAAAGGAAGAGAGACAATGCTTACCACAGGGTGAAAGACCAATAGGAACACTTGAAGAAGCACAAGGGTGACGAGGTGACACCGAAGAGAAACCATTACTGTCAGCGATGATTCAACAGGGGTGGTGAGCTGAAGATATCAGGGAGAATGACGGTCAATAATTTTCCGTAAGTTAACATTTTTCTTAATTCTTGTTTTAAGAATCAAATGTGATTTTAATTTTTATTTTTAAAACCGGTTACTTGCCATAATCCGTATTCACCGAAACAAAAACTCGAAAGTTGATTGGTCCTTCTCATCCGATATCATAGATTTTTCCTTTAGCAGAAGTTCATGTTGCATGCAATAAGAGAATTGACAGATAATAACCAAGTACGTAGTCAGTGGCTCAAACTTTACTTTCTAAAGCCATAGACCTGCAGAAAGTTCAGAATCAGAATGAAGACAACGTTATTCGTTAACACAACAAATCGGATTAATTAGAAAATATCCGCCATTCATAAAAGAAATAAAATATTTGGATTAAAACAATCCGCCCGTAACCATCCTTTTGTAAATCTGGTCAACACAGAGTCACTACAACCGGAGACATCAAGATCTGAGGAATGAACTATAAAGCCTGGTCAAGTAATATCCTCATCCTCCCTTGAAATCATTTTTTCTTTTTTCCCTATAACCAATAAAACTAAAGTGTCATTATTAATTGCATCATCACTGAACGTACGAGTCATTGCGGGACACAGTTAATTATTCTTGTTGGTTCTTTCCACAACCACAAGGCTCTAGCCTCTAACTCATGGATAAAGCTAAAGACCAAAAGGCTCCTTCGTCTGAATGACCAAATTCAAAAGATATAAGCTTAAAATGAAGCATCCTGATTTTTCAAGCTTTCAAAATCTCTTTTTAGCTTCCAAGCGCTAGCGCGTTTGTCTTGGATTGCAATAAATTTACAAGAACTCTCTAATGTTTTAAAAATTTGTTTATAATAATTAATAAAGCTATTAATTTTATAATTTATTAAATAATGGATGAGAATAACAAATTAATAATATGTAACTTTAAAATATACAAAATACATTAATCAGAAGTAATACATATTATAAAATTGAAAAATAATAAATGATGCAATTAAACAATTATCAAATGTGTAAAATATATTTCTATAAAAGTATTGCATATTAAGAATTATAAAATTATAAAAAAACATTTACTAAAATTTATTTATAATAAAGAAGCATATTAAAATTATTAATATATTTATAAAATAATAAATAATAATAAATTTCATACAAATTAATAATGAATCATAAGTAATTAAAAACAAGTTAAATGCAATACTTCAAAGTAATATTTTCTAAATAATTGAAAAATCACAAATAAAAAATTTATAATTATTAAAACTATTTAAAATGATGAAAAATGCTAAAAGAAAAAATATATTTATGACTTCTTAAAAAATATTAATTCTTTTGTGGATCCATCTGTTACTTTGCACTTGTATAGGTATTAATGGGACTCCGTGCGTCTTATGAACATATGCCTTCAGACAAAACTAATTACCAGTCTTTTGTCTTGCTATGTTCTGAAAAGATCTTTCAAATGCACAAGTTACCAGGTGGTATTGATCTCCAAAAACCAACTCTCAAAGGCTAGGCAATTCTTTTGACCTAACGAACTTTAATTTGAAAGTTTTTTTTAGAAAGACTCACCAAACGGCATCTTAGTTTTTCAAGAGTACTCCACCATCAAAGCTCTTATAAACTGCAGACCTCAACAAGAAGGGAGAGAGAGAGAGAGAGAGATCCTAATTACCGTGTTTCAACCTTCAAGTATAAGAAATCAAAGCTCTTATTTAATCTATGGCACCAAAAGGCACACTAAGTTACACCACCAGATAGTCATAGACATAGTAATAATACAGTAGAAGCAGACAACCACGACTCAATAGCATTACCAAAAAACTACAACCAAATATAGATCATGACAGGGGTTTTTCTCTTTTATATATATTTTTATTTTTTGGGGGCAATTAAGCAAAATAGAGAGAGACATATTTGGTGGCCGGCCGAAATCCGTAGAGGAAAATGGGCTCATATCATATCATTATTCATCACAGCAACGATATAAGACGTACTTCTCCATGGGCCTATTGCACTCAGCACAAGTGATGTGTTCATGGACGTCCTTCCCTAGTGCCCTCGGAAGCACAAGGGATGCACAGTGCTCCTTGCTGTGGTAGGACGCGAGGACTCGAGCCAGCGCTGGTATGAACCCATCCCTCACCGCATTTTCCTTCCACGTAGGGAAACTCTCAAGCGCCTCCAGCATTCTATTGCCTGAAGCTTTTGTCATCTCTCCATTGCCGTGGCCAAGGATGGCCCACCCTTGGTTACTACCGTCGAAGGTGAGCAACGACATCACCTCTCGCATTATGTTGTCGTCGGCGATGGTTCGACCTTGTTGCGTCTTGGAGTACCACATGCTTTCTAATCGCACCCAGAAGAACCATATGAACGTCAGCTCCGGCAAATAGTAACTCAGTTTTTCTGATGAAATGGCGTTGATGTTGCTTCGCACCCGCTCCTTGGGATTGCTCTTTCCCACGTACATCATCTCTATGCTGATTTTCAGTTCATCTGTAACGCTTCGCATTGTCGATGTGAATTTCCGTATCCAGTTTATATCTTCTCCTCCATACAGGCAGATGGGTTTTCCTTCTCTTATCTGATCATAAAAAATTTAATTAGAATCAACTCAGGTAACAGCGCATAATTAATTCATTCTCTTTGGTTGATGCAAAGCCTTGATTCCTATAATTGGTCGATGTGGGATTTATTATGAAGAATCAAGGCTTTGCATTCATCTATACAAAATTAAAATAGACAAACTGTGGATGATGGATTGATGGGTGGCCTGTGATCACATAAGCCAACCCCTACTGCAAACCCAGCCATGCAGATGCAGTGCGAGAGAGAATAGAAAATTAGTTTACCCAAGAAAGCATTGTTTCATCGATTCCATTCACCACGAACACCATGCTCCATCTTTCTTGATTCCACAGATCTTCCTCTCTCTTCCTGGTGAAGGGGAAGGCAGCGTTCCCCCATATCCACATCATGTGGATCGCATTTGTACATACCACACGTCCTAGAGGATCCAACACCACTAAAAGAGGTTTCTTCTCATACTGCCATACCTCCTTCATGTATTGGATGACTGCTGGATGAAGCAGTGAAGGGTGGTGCAGTGAGTACCAAGGCATGGCGGATTGAAGCCGTTTGAACGTTTCCTGCTGTTTTGCTGGCATCCATCCACTTGAATTCTGCACAACTGGTAGCCATACCATCTCATAGGCTTTCTCAGATTTTGTCTGTTGGGATAACTCACCGTATACATTTTCGAGAACCGTAAGTTCCTCTGCTGTAATGTCAAGGTCTGATATCAACAGTACCACAGTCTTCTTGCCTAGTACTTCCACCCCAACCTGTGTCATGCACGGTAGAGTTTTTTTTTAAGAAACTCTAACACTCACAATCACAAACAAAGAGAAGTTACTTTTCCAAATACATTCAAAATTTCAGGAGCCCAGATTTCCTACAGTTTTCAGATAGCACGACCAGTAGTACCGCTCATCAATGTGTCAATGACCACAGTTTTAAGGCCAGTGATCTAGTTCGATATCTAATTTTAAGGCCTGTTTATGGAACATGTGCACTCTGGTTGGCCCAGTTTCTTGGATGGCAGATTATGTTAACCCAATCTATTGTTAATTTCTATTATCTCTACTTTTTATATGACAATGGCTTTATTATTATTTTTGTTCTTATATATATATATGAGAGAAAGAGAGAGAGAGAGAGATCTAAAGCAAACCCTTGTCTTGGTGAAACCATCAAGCAAAGGCTGATGGTCATCAATCGAGTGTATCAACACCCTGAGAACCCTGAGGTTGTCAACTTGAGTTGTATCAAAGAGGCGCACCAGCGTCTGATATACCTCATTCAGTTTCCTCTCCTCTGCATCATTACACAGTGTATCTTTCTGTCAGCAATGTTACATTGCTAATAAAAGGGTTGGATGATGATGATGATGATGATGGCAATGATGGTATATTTAATTTTGTAGATTTATGCTTCAATAACAAAAAAAAAACTTATGGGATGGGATTACTGATTATGATTTACTACTATCTGAATTCGATTGTGCTATATTTGTGCAAAGTAACTTAGTGGAACCAGCACTCACCGATTTCCTTATGGCAACGTGTTAGTTGGTCTTTGAGGTGTGCATGAATGTCGCCAAGCTTGTAAGCCAATGTCGAAACATCCCACGAGCCCATGTCCCTATAAATGTATCACAAACGTTAACTGTTGGCAGCTATCTCCGTTAAAGTTTAATTTATTACAACGGCCGTCATAACCGTTCTAATTAACTGTAGGTCAAAGAGTACACTTACTGATGATGACCCACGCTCAATATAGAATTGAACTGGGAAGTGCAGACCAGAACGCTTCTGATAATCCAATACACAGCAGTAGGGACAAGGTTCGAGGCCATTGACATGGCGGGAAAGCCCGAAAGATATCCGACGGGAAGATCATAGAACTCTGTCAAGGATTTTGTCAAGTCTAGCATTCCCCTGATGAGATTGCTGAGAGCATCCAAACGAGGTTTCAGCATTTTGTTTACATGGCTCAATACTTCGGGTACTTGTTTAAGTACAGAAAGGGACTTAGCCAGGGAGTTGGTGGTGCAAATCTGCGACGTTAACCAGAAGTCGCCATAGTTGATGCCGAATGCTGCCATGACTATAACTGCCTTGGTGTCCCACGAGTACATCGATAACGTGGTTAACAGGTCTAAAGCCAACGGATGTAAATCCCTTCTGCCGGTGCCGGAGCAGTGAAATTGAATCTGCTTCCCATCAATTGTTTATACATTTTAATTTGTTAACTAGTGGTAACAGAAAACTATAATATAGAATGGGATATGCCTTAGTTCCAAATTAAAAAGGGTAAAACTTAAAAGGAATCAATATGCAATAAAATATAACTAAATAACCTCAGATCCAATCTTCCGAATGGTGTCCGCTACCACTCCGTGTATACCCTCTTCAGTCATATACTCCACGGCTTCCATGTGGGCTTGCGTCTACACAAAAATTAAACCACGAACAATAATTTAGTAGCCAGTATTCTTACTGCCTATATAGAGCTGAGGGAAGAAGGATTTCTCCCCAGTCGGAGTATAGAGGATTCGATTAATTGGGTTGGATAATGGTGCCAACCTGGTTTAAATCCAGGGATTTGAGTTTGTATTAATTCACAAACCCAGTCCCGACTATAGAGTACAGACAACCTTTACCTCAATGTCATTCTGAAACCTATAAAAAATCTGGACTCCGCTTGACAGAAGCCCATCTGTTAATTGGTTTTTGATCTTAACTCTGGCATCAACTAATCCTGTCAAATTAATATAAACTGTTTATGAGGGAATTAAACGTATATATTACCACATGAGCAGCACGAGTTGGTGAGGCACGCTCCAAGATGTCCTCGACGACTTGCAGAAGCAATTTAGTTTTAACGTCGACCAATCGACCATCTGAAGCATGGGTAGCGATGACATCCGCCATTATCATGCCGCTATCGTCAAGTGGGCCAAACAGGCTACTATCTCTCTTCCTCGGTTGCAGTTTTTGTGGTGCTGGTGGTTCCTCTGTCAATCGCGTTGTCGACGATTTGGGTGCAGACTCTACTACAGCCATTACGTGAACACAGACAGAGTGCGAGGTTGGTTTTGTTTAGTGAAGATTGTTATTTGTGTGGAGGCCCTGGGAAGAGAGCAGGTTAATATATATCACACTCATGAAAGATGGAATAAAAGAAAGGCTATCGAATCATCTTCTTTGCTTCAGACATGGTCTAAACATTTTAGCAACTCGCGCCATCACATGGTCGTAAGGAGTCGCAGAAGGGGTCCCTCAGTAAAGAGATGCCGGTATTCCGTAAATCCAGTGCTGGCGCCTCGCTGATCTTAAAATCACTCAGCTTTGACTAGATACCTTCTCTCGGTGGACCAGCAGTCCAGCAGCCGGGGCAGCTGCTTGAATTCCTGCTTGTTTTCTCTTCCAAGGAGCATGTCATCACTTGCTTTACAAAGTTATACGTGCAGAACACGTGATACCAGATTGTCACGGGGTAGATCTACCGCAGAAGAAACGTGTGCAGCGTCCAAGACAAGCCTAAGCCTTATGTGCGCTTACGGCCAGGAGTTGTCAGATGAGATAGTTTCACCAAGCTCAGTAGTACTGAATCATGACCTCAAGGCTCATGGCCGGGGTACTTGCCAATCCATGGGAGGCGTCACTTACGTGCTAAAGGTGGATGGCCAAGATGAGAGGCGACTTGGCACCGATGTGAAGGAACTCCTGTATATCGATGATGACGGGCACCTGATGTACTAATGATGATAGGCAACCGCTGGGTCGAAACACACATATGCGCTATGGGCAATGGAGTAGCTCATTCAACTTAGGCAAGGGGCTGACAAGGTGTAGGGACATGCTTAAGCCAAACCCGTATGCCAAACCTCCCTTTAATGAGTGGAGGCGCAATGCCGATCCATGCACTGTTCCCATGAACATGTGTGCGCCCATGAGAAACCCTGGTAGCCATGCTAGCCATTAACTAGGGGCGCCCTACAAAGGATGATGGTCTAACAGTGCCAAGGTTAGCCACCCAAGGAGGTCGACCACCCCTCCTCAAAGAGTACGTTAAGCTTTTAGAGATCTACCTAAAGATGATATCAATTCTCCCAAAAATTGTATAGGTGAAAATGGCGGTGATGTCCCTTAACTTAAGCCTGCCCAACATACTCAAGGCTAGACCCGGGCCAGGCTTTCACTCTGTATTAACAGATTTTTCTAAGACCCAAGCCCGAGCCCAGCTCGACCATCGGGCCTACAACTTGGGCCCGAGCCCGGCCCTCATAAAAAGCCCGAAGCCCGAGCCTAGGCCCGAACCCGAAATTTATCCCATTTTGTTACTACTGCTGAAGTGGCTGAATAGAGAGAGAGTGTGAGTGAGAGAGAAATTATAAAGAAAAAAATAAAAAAATGTATATATTAAATTATAAATAAATATATTTCAATAAATATTATATTATTTATATATTTTATATAATATATAAAATACATATTATATATTTTATAAAATATATAATGTTGAGTCGGGTCGGGCCGGGCTTTTTTGACAAATCCTGGGCCCTACCCGTAACACAGTCGGGCTTACTGTGTTAGGCCCGAGGTCAGGCCCACAAGCCCAATTACATGAAGCCGTTGGGCTACCCGGCCCACGAACAGGTCTACTCAAGGCTAAATCTGTATCATACCGTGATAAAATGATGATGATGGAATAATGGTCCAGTGAGGTAAGCTCTAATTAACTTCTACCATGGAAGGTGATGGAGAGAGAGAGAGAGAGCAGAGATAACAAGAGCAAAAGCACTACACACCACTGTCTTCGCTTTTCACTTTAATTATTTGTGCGCCTGCAGATTGCAGATTGCAGATTGATATACGTTGCAGAAGAAATGAAAAATAACGAGAGGAGAGGAGTCATTGTTTCCAAAAAGAGCAAAAAGAAGGAAAAGAAAAAGATGAGGCTAATGATTTTGTTATCGTGGGAAGTGAGAGCGGATTTAACCTGCCCCAGCTTTATCCTGGGGTAGCATCGGCCTGATAAGGATTTATCATTCAGGGTGACGTTACTTCATCGACTCTTTCTTTTCAGTACAAAGTTGTAATTAACTAAATATTCCACAATTAATTTTCCGAAAGCTAAAAGTTCCGAGTCCCATCAGATTAGATTTTCTTTCATTAATGACTAGTTAGTGTGCTAACGATAACTAGAGCATTGGTCCATTTTAGTGTTTTACCAATCCCAAGCGGATGCATGGATCCATTAAGAGTTAAGGTATAAACGAAGAACAATTAGGTAGTACTGTGAAATGTTATTAGCATTTAGTGTTTTTCGATTTATTAGTACTGACTAAAAGATGTCAAAGCATTTGATAAAATGATATGACCCCAAGATAAATTCCCGTTGCCATTAGAGGGAATGTTTAGGGTTGGGGGATGGAACTATTTTCCCTTGTGTAATTCACTCCAGATTTCAAATTTGCTTCTAGAGCACATTTTATACTAATCTCACAGTGCTTTTAGTTGTGTATTAGAAACATCTTTCTATAAATAACAACATATATACAAAAATGGAGATGTTATCAAGGCCGGGACTGTGAGGTTGGTGTGAGATGGGTTCTATGAAAAGATAAAGGTCTTAGTGGGGCTACAATAATAAATCTAAGGCATTGATTCTGGGTTTAATTTAGTCCTACGTTATAACATTGTCACAACAAAAGTGAATTCTACTCTGTCGGTTGTCACCTTAGATTTTTAATTTAGAGATTTATGTGATTTGATGGTATCACTGCCTAGTGTCAATGGATCAGTTTTGGATTGAATCCCATCTAAACCAAAATTAATTTGAACAAATTGAACGGACCAACAAGACATATTGAATTGTACAAGTCCAGACTTAATGGTTCAAAGTATATATTGAATTGGATCGGACCTGGTCCATCAGTAATGAATTTGTATTAGATTGAATTGGATTGAAATAATATCTAGTCCATTGATAATATAAGAGTATATAGGAGTCAATAGACCAGATTTAGATTAGAATTAATCTAAGTTAAAACAAATTTGAACAGATTGAATAGTCCAAACATTAAATTGAATCGACCAAAAATATTCACTAGATTGGATTGGACCTGATCCATTTAAAATGGATTCACACTGGACTGGATCGGATTGGACCAAATCCAGTCCAATTGACACCCCTACACAAAGCCGAGAAGGAGCATAGATTTCCTCCACAAAAACCATTCTACCACACTACCAACATGGTTTGCGTATAAAAGATTACAAGCCATCGGTGGATTAATAATTTTATCCTATCAAGATAAATGTAATACCAGTCTCAAATTAAGAATCCAATCCGCAGTTCAACTAGCATCCATCGAGATTAGTATTTAATTATTTATTTGAACGAAGTTTTGCTAAAACACATGCACCCTATATAAGACAATAAGTTTAAACTCTGAACAGCCTTATATGGTTATCTAGTCTAGTTGTGTTAAACAAAAAGAAGTCCAAACCAGAGTCATCTTATATCTATCACCAAAATGAGGGGAAAAAACAAAACCGAGTCAGCCGATAAACTGAGAAAAATGAAAGGGCAGGACTCAATTATGTTTTAACTTTTAAGGTCTACAAATAATGACCCCATTTATAAAACAAGGGTTTGTTTGGATTAATTAGGACCTTATCAACTACATTCCTGCAAACGCTGATACATATACATGTAAGAGAAGTACATATAACACGTATTGTAAGTTGTAATGCGGTTTTGCAGCGGTTGAAGATCAAGTAGAGTTTTTTTTTTTTCTTTTCAGAAAAACTAACCATGTGTGATCATGTAGGTCAGTAGCTGGTCCCACCTAAGGGTGGAACTAGGGGTCGGGGGACTCCAGATCTCCTGTCCATACCTACTCATAATACACCACCTCCCGTGAATTCGAAACATCTCCCCCTATATAATACTATGCAGAGGATGAGATATTCAATATGCGTGACTAAGATAAATATGGGCAGGATTCTCGTGGACAGGAAATCCAGGCTCGGGTGGGGGCTCCGAGAAATGCCCACAAAAAGATTTGAAGGAGTATTGCAAAATACTGAATAAACTACAATTAACACACCAAATCCAATTGTGGAGTGGCTCAAATTGATATATTAACTGGTTCGTTCCAGTGGAGACCAGGATTCGAAAACTGCTACCACCAAAATTTGGGGAGGGGGATGTGGTGCTGCGCAACTCAACCTCACTGGAAGTGGGATGCAACCATGCGCTGTAATTGAGGGGATGCCACGACCTAGCACAACAAGACTTAACATCTAAAGTCATCTTCCCCGGGCCTTGAATAGGCCTTGTAGATGAACTCATTCCCTTGCCATGAGTAAAATTGGGAGACCCATTGCACTGACATGTGCTTCACCGCACTGTGGGTAGAATCAAATAGTATTAATCTCCCATTGAAACGATATAAGTAGACAGTCTGATATACCTTTCGGCTCAGTTTGCAAAGAGTATAACTGTAAATATTAGACTTGTTTCGGATCTAACTTTCCATTGTTTTGAGCTCGAGTTTTGAGTCGGTCCTATTAGAATTTTGACAAAAAAAAAAAAAAAATAGAGCCTGATCTATAAATAAGTCTAATAAATATGTGCAATATAAATACATACAAAATAATACAAAATATAAGGTTTTGCATTCTATGCATTTGTATTTGTACTCTATTTAAACATAGCTAGAGTGAAAGTGAAACAGGTAGGGGTGGATTCCGACCGAGCCGAGCCGAATATCTAGCTATTCAACTCGGCTCGCCAATAAAGTATGAGGCTCGAGCTCGAGTTCAGCTTGAGTCAAAAGCTCGTAAACTCAAAATCAGCTCGACTCAAACTCGACTGTGAGCCCAATGTTTTATAAAAATAAAATATTATACATATAAAATTTATTTTTTATTTGACATATAAAGAATTATGAATTACAAAATCTATTTATTATTATTATTATTATTATTATTATTATATAAATAATATATATATGTATGCACGTATGTATGTATATATATATATATATATATATATATATGTATGTATATATGTACGTATACATGCAAAAGCTCGATTAAGCTCAAAAGCCAAGATTTAT